ACGCCACCAGGCCCAGCTAATTTTCTATATTTTTAGTAGAGATGGGGTTTCACCATGTTGGCCAGGATGGTCTCGATCTCCTGACCTCGTGATCTGCCCACCTTGGCCTCCCAAAGTGCTGGGATTACAGGTGTGAATCACAGCACCCAGCCTGAAATTTTTAATAATTTTGAATCAGGAGCCCCACACTTTTTTTTTTTTTTTGAGATGAAGTCTCATTCTGTCTCCCAGGCAGGAGTGCACTGGCACCATCTTGGCTAACTGCAATCTCTGCCTCACTCATTCAAGCCATCCTCCTATCTCAGTCTCCCAAGCATCTGAAGCCACAGGTGACAACAGCTGCACCCAGCTAAATTTTGTATTTTTGGTAGAGACAGGGATTTGTCATGTTGGTCTGGCTGGTCTTGAACTCCTGGCCTCAAATGATCCACTCGCCTTGGCCTCCCAAAGTTCTGGGATTACGGGTGTGAGCCACCGTGCCCGCCAAGCCTCACACTTTCACTTCACACTGGACCCTACAAATGATGCGGCCAGTCTTGCCTGGGGCACTGGGGAACTTGAAGAAACAGAAGGTGTCAGTGGGTTTCTATGGGACATGTTCAAAGGAGAAGAGAGGTAGAAGAAAGGGAAAGAGGAAGGCAGGTTGGAGAAACAGAAAAGGGAAGCAAGAGGGCTGCTGCTCCCTCGTTTACCTTTCCGGGGGACATGGGTCTCCTTTCACTTCCTAAAACGTGCCTTGATCCACCCTTACTCATTTTCTCCAAGCCTTCCCATGGCTGACCCCTTCTCCCCATTCAGGTCTTAATGCCAACACCTTCCTCTCTGGGAGGCTATATCTGCCTATCCTGCTCTCCATCATGGCACCACGTTCTCTGCCCTCATAACTACAATTGTATTCTCCTGTTTTATTTATCAGTCTGTGTACTTTATTTGTGGACACACACACACACACACACCCATCGGAATGCAGGTTTGATAAAAGCAGGACCACCCCTAGGCTCTTCTCTCTATTCCTCGGCAACTCAACCAACCGGGGCTTTAGACACAGTTCCAAACATTCATTACTGCCTGACTTCTGGCAAGTTATTTAACCTCTCTTCGTGTAAGAGGGAGAATAATGATAACAAGAAGCAAGTGGAATAAAACAAGCACTTAACACAGCATCTCGCAGGCAATAGATGCTCAGTAAGAATTTATCAAATGAATGAATGAATGCAATTGATGATTCTCATCATTTGCCTGAGCCCCTACTATGCACAAGGTACTGTGCTAGGAAGTAGTATTTTTTCATTTGCTTCTTATTATTAACCCATTTTAAATTTGAAGAGACTGAGGTTCAGAGAGGCTGAATAACTTGCCCAAGGTCATGCAGAAATTAACCATTAGATCTCTAACTGGCAATCAGACCTGTGGATGTGCAGAGCCTATTCCTTCTCAAATTCTTCCTTGACTTTCAACTGTAAAAATCCTACACATTGCACTGGGTTTTTCCAGGTACAGGCACAAGATGCATTTCTTTATACCCGGCGTTCTGTAGCCATTTCACACTTCACAGCAACTCTGAAATGCAGGTGATGTCCCTTCTAGCTATGAGGCAGGTGCTATGTGGAAACCAGAGATCCAGTCAAGGGAAACAAAACATCAGAAGACAGCAGGGAGGAAGATTTAAGGCCCTAGAGACAGAAGATCATGAAAAGTGAGACAGAAAGAATTCAGATTGGATTCCTGGGTGCCCAGGGCATGGAGCTCGGAAAGGGTAGATCAGAACAGAGATAAAGGTGTTTCTTGTTAGGATGAGGGTGGCAGCAGGGTCCCTTTAAGGCCAGAGGGGATTCGCCCCTTTGCCAAGACTGGAGTGACTGTAACCTTCTGTGACCTCACCACCAGGATCTTATCCCCCAGTGAGGTGTCTGTCCTTTGCTTCTTATTTCCCTTTTCATTTTATCATGTTTTCATTTTTTAATTTTTGTGGGTACATAGTAGGCATACATATTTAGGGGGTACACGAGATGTTTTGATACAGGCATGCAATACATAATAACCACATCATGGAAAATGGGGACTCCATCCCTTCAAGCACTTATCCTTTGTGTTACAAAAAATCCAATTATACTACTTTATTTATTTTTTTAATGGACAGTTAAATTATTATTGACTAGTCATCTGTTGTGCTGTTAAATACCAGGCCCTATTCATTCATTCCAAATATATTTTTATACCCATTAGCCAGCCCACCTCCTACTGTCTATTCCCATGGGTTAAATTTTGATTTTTATATCCCACAAATAAGTGAGGACAGGCAATGTTTCTCTTTCTGTGTCTGGCTTATTTCACTTAACACGATTTCCAGTTCCATTTACATCACTGCCAATGACTGAATCCCATTCTTTTTCATGGCTGAATAGTACTCCATTGTGTATGCATATCACATTTTCTTTATTCATGCATCTGTTGATGGACACTGTCCCTTGCTTCTTGTTGTACCTTCTTGCAGCCTGTCACCCACACTTCAAACATGGACCCTCTGCCTCCTTCCAATTTTATTATGTTTACTTAACTTTGATTGTTTCCTAGAAAAGCAATCTCTTGCTACGCAAGTGAAAATAATTTAAACGTTTTGCTCTGTGGCCAAAGATGGGAGTAACTACAGCCATTCATTCCTGTTGTAATTCATGCAAAAGCTCTATTGTTTCTATGAATGGAGAAGCCAGCCCAAGCATCAAACAAGTAATATTGACAAAAGGCGTTTTGGTAATTACAGCAAGTTCTGCACGACACTAATAAAACAGGAGGAGGGGCCCCTGGAGGTGGGATCCTGAACGTGATCGTGAGCCGGAAGGCAGCTGCAACATCAGAATTTGCCCTTTCACCAGCAGTTGGACAGCTGTGCAAATTCACAGGGAATGGCGGGAATACTTGGGATGTGACAGAAGCCACTTTTGCACAAATTGAAGAACTTTTTTTTAAGATGAAGTCTTTTATTTAGAGGCAAAAACATGAAGTTTTATTTATTTACTTATTTTTTGAGACAGGGTCTCGCTCTGTCACCCAGGCTAGAGTGCAGTAGCACAATCACAAATCACAGCTCCCTGTAGCCTCAAACTCCCTGGTTGAAGTAATCTTCCTACCTCAGCCTCCTGAGTAGCTGGGACTCCAGGTGCCGCCACGCCTACCCGATTTTTTAAAAGGAGTTTTTGTTGAGACAGGGACTCCTTATGTTTTCCAGGATGTTCTTGAATTCCTGGTCTCAAGTGATCCTCCTGCCTCAGCCCCCCAAAGTGCTGGGATTATACGTGTGATCCACCGTGCCTGGCCAAGAATGTTTTAGAGTCCAGTGACTCTCTGTCTTGCTCCTGCTGCACTAAGATATCTTCACTGGAGGGCCTGAGATCACATCCCTCAGCAGCTATGACCAGTTCAGGACTGCATCAAGGAGGAGGTTATGCGCATTCTACAATTTGGTATATAGAGTACATAACTTATATGAGCAAAATCTCCGAAAGCGAGCACTAGTGAAGCTGGAGATGTGTGTTCATGTTCATTGCACAGATTTCAGAAAATATAAATAAACTTGAAGAAAAAAAAAATTATCACCCGTAACGCCTTTCCTCAGTGTTAGAATGCTGGTGTATTTCTCCCAGGTGTTTTCTTTGACTATTCATAGTCAGCTCTAATATAGACAATATAGACGTCTGGTTCTTCCTGCTGGCTCAACTAGAGCTGATTCGCAACCCTCTCGGCTTCTTTTGCCTGTCTCACACCCACATGTCCCAAAGGTCAGCAGCTGCCCCTGCCTCCACCCCAAGAGGGTGTGAATGGCAAGGGTCTGGGTAGGAAACTCAGCAGACTGTGTTCTAGCCACTAGACTATTCTGGCTCAGTGTATGAAGCTAATTTGATGCATGCCCTTGAACTTCTTTGTAGTCAGGATCCTCATATGGAAACAGAGAGGGATGCATCCCAAGGACTGATGCTTGACTGTTCTGGCTGCAGAAAAATAAAAGTCTTCAGAGAGGAAGACCAAGAAAAACTGGCTTTTCATGTGGCCTGCTCAGGGGTGTACAGTGAGAGCTTGCAGGCAGCAGGAGGGAACCACATCTGCAGGTTCTTACTGCAAAGCTACGTGAAGAAAGTGCCTTCTCTGCTACCCAGGCTTTGCCATAGAGGCTAGAATGGGGGCGGGGATGTGTGGCAAGGCAGGCAGCTGTGGTTCCTAGAGAAGCAATAAGCCAAGGGTAGAAAGGCAGCTTCTGGGAACAGAATGCTGTGGGAGCTAGACAGCCTGGACTCATGTGCCCAGCTGGGATACCTTAAACTCTTCCCAATTGAGGGGTCCACCTGTGGCCTGCAGTAGCTTGGGACTCCAGCAGAGATGGTGAAAAGTAGCCTATCTTCTGAGACAGGTGAGAAGCCCTGCCTTGAACTTGGGTGATCTCGCTGATCACCAGCCCAAACTTGCATCCTTGAATCAGCCATAGCCCTTGTAAAATTATGTCCGTTATTCTGTACAAACATGGCTTCTCCTTATATAGCACTTACATACCTGTCGTGTTCATCTGTGAACTCAATTAACTCTTGCTAACCGCCCTATGAAATGGGAGGTAGATCGAATATACGAAACTTCCAGTCTATTGGTCAAAAATAGTCCAATCTTGGCAACTGCATGCGGGTCATCCTAATATTATTATGCACATTTTACAGATTGGGCCAAGATTGGACTGGAACTTGTGGAAGACCATACGCTGAAGTCCTTGTTCCTGTCACATTTCTTCACCAAAGGCTTGGTGAGCTCGAGTGAGAGGTTTCCACAACAGCAAGGAGAGGCTAATACCATCCAGTCTCTCCTCACCCAAGTAAGCCAGTGATGCCTCCAGCCCCAGAACTGGAGAAATCTTTGGGTTTCCCACTGAATGTGGCCCCAGCCTGGCTAAAGGGTATAGAGCTCCCCAGGATGCTGCCCACCCTGCTGTGCCCAGCCCCATCTAGCCCCTAGTAAGTTACCTCTCAGTATCACTGTCACTGGATGCCACTTCTTCCAAGACTGCCTGCAGGTCAGCAATCCGCCGAATGGACGTCTCCAGGTCTGTCTGGAGGGTCTGCCTCACTGCCGCAAGTTCCTCCACGTACTTCTCCTGGGGACAGAGGATGCACGCACATGTTGGCCTTGGACAGGAAATGTACCACCCATGCCTGCACTGGGGAAGAGACATGCCCCCGGCTGAGCCTAGTGTTCACTGAGCACCTATTAAATGGTTGGTTCTCCATGAGAGGCTTTCTCTGCAGACAGGTTTACGGGATCCTCGGCCAGGTATTCCATGTTTCACAGAGGAGGAAATAGATGCTCTAGGGCGTGGCACAGAGAGCTTGCTCACCTGTGCAGGCGGTGCTGTCCCCAGTGCATCTGACCCCAGGGCCATTCTCTGAATCTGCACCACCATGTACAGTGGCTACTCAGCCCATCTCGGTTGGATGAGTAAACGTGCAAACCAAGCAGGGTCATGGAGTCCGGTTTAGGCAGCTGAGCCCCAGGGATAAATCTGGTGCAGGAGGTCATGAGGAGATCGTAACAAAGATGGTTTCCTTTCAAGTCTGTCTTCTAGGCACTCCCACCTTGCTGTCCTCAACAGCAGCAAAAGCAAAGATGAGCCGGGCACGGTGGCTCACGCCTGTAATCTCAGCACTTGGGGAGGCCGAGGCAGGTGGATCATGAGGTCAGGAGTTCAAGACCAGCCTGGCCAAGATGGAGAAACCCCATCTGTACTAAAAATACAAAAATTAGCTGGGCATGGTGATGGGCCCCTGTAATCCCAGCTACTCTGGAGTCACCCTAATGGATCCCGCCTCTGCACTCCAGCCTGGGTACCAGAGTGAGACTCCATCTCAAAAAGAAAAAGAAAAAGAAGCCAAGGTGAAAAACCCAGCTGGGCTCCCTCTAGACCAGGCAAACACAGTGGGCATTTAGGGAGCTCCATGTGTGGCCAGAGCTGTGTTGCGTGTTTTGCAGCCAGGATCTCACTCATGGCTCCCAGGCCCAGCAGGCAAGTCTCTGTTCTTGCTCCCATTTCACAGATGACAAACTGAGACCTTAAGAAGCAAAGACTTCATGGCAGAGTGGGAACCCAAGCTCAGTGCCTCTGACTCCCCACTCAGTGCTCACCTTAGTGATCAATACTTTCTTGTACGTTTCTAACTGGATTTTATCCAGACTCTTGGGAAAATCTCTGACTTTGATTTGCAACCTACACACTGCTGCTCTTTAACATACAGTGATTGTCAGCTGAGGGTGATTCTGCCCCCAGAGGACATTTGGTCATGTCTAAGACATTTATGGCAGTCACAACTTGGGGGAATGCTGCTGGCATCTGGTGGGTAGAGGCCAGGGATGCTGCGCAACGATGCACAGGACTGTCCCACAAGGAATCATCTGGCCTGCATGTCCACGATGCTGAGTCTGAAACCCTGGGTGAGACCCAGAATCTAACCTTCTAGGAATTCATCTTGTGGGGGACAAATCAAGAGGCAGAACACAGCTCTGTGCCCCAGGATGCTTGCCGTGGTGCTGCTGACGACAGGGAGAGGCTGAGATCTGCCTCATCACCCAGCAATTGGGAATGGTTAGGGAAATCACAGTGTGTCACTTTGATGCTCTTAGGCAGACATTAGCATTAGAAATAAGAATTGTGGCGGCGTGGAGTGCTTCTGTGAAACAACATGAAGCAAACTGGATAGAGCCGAGCAGGATCACGCCCAGATCTTTGCAAATAACACGGAGAATTGAGAATATTTATGGATGGGGTGAAGCGGGGTTAGAGATGGGATTTTTCTTGTAAGCGGCTCTAATTACGTAAAGTTTATTTTTGGACTGTTGTTTAAAGGAACACACATACCAAATGAGGACAGTGAGGATGGGAGAAATTTGAGGATGTGGAGTCAAAGTGTAATTCCCAGCTCCCCATGGAACTGAGTGAAATGAAGGGCTCACAGCCCCTCTCTTAGCCCAGAGTCAATTTTCTTTCTCTTTTTTTTAAAGACAGAGTCTGGATCTGTTGTACAGGTTGGAGTTCAGTGGCCTGATCTCAGTCACTGCAATCTCCACCTTCCGGGCCCAAGCAATTCTCCTACCTCAGCCTCCCAAGTAGCTGGGATAACAGGCACCCACTCCCACGCCTGGCCAATTTATGTATTTTTAGTAGAGACGGGGTTTTGGCATGTTGGCCAGGCAACTCCTGACCTCAAGTGATCTGCCCACCCCAGCTTCCCAAAGTGCTGGGAATACAGGCATGAGCCGCCGCAACTGACCTCATTTTTCTTTATTTTGCAGATGAGGAAAGTAAAGCCGGCAAGATCACTCAGGAAAGGTTCAGAGCTGGGATTTAAACCCTGGGCTTGGCGGCTCCCAGTACAGTGATCTTTCTGGGGCTTTGATTGCATTCCTCAAAGGAAGTCAGCAAGGACCACGACAGGGACACACTCAGCTCTCTGCAGATCGGCTTGTCCATTCACGTTATTATGAGTCTGTGCCTTTCAAATGTTTTCTGATTTTAGAGAGAGAAGCAGCAGGCAAACACTGAGTAAGGCTAAGGGCCAGGCTGAGCTGATGAGAGGGAGATGGGGTGGTGGGAAGGAAGCCACTGAGGCGGCATGAGAAGGGGCTGGCAGTCCATCCGGATGACTGAAGCTACCAACTGTGAAATCCCCATCTCAGCCTTGACAAGGTGAGAGACGACCCAAGACTGGGGCCGCCAGGCTGTCAGAGGAAATAAAGGACATCGAGGGACTGTGAAGGAGGGGGTGTTCCCCCCAGGACATCAGCATGTCAGCTCATAAATACAGCTAGGAAACGGCTGGGTGCAGACTCCCAGCAGCTTCTGGGAGCACGTGCCCAAACTCCACTCTTTTCTAATAGGCCAGGATGATGGTGCCACTGGGCATTAGCCACTTTCTCCCAGATGTGGCACCCGTGTCTTTGTAAGACACAGAGGCAGAAAAATCTGTATTTCTGCCTTAGATTCTATCCCAAGTCCGCAAGTCTGGGCCATTGTGGGTTATGGGTTAAATACATTGGATCCTATAAACATTGGTTCAATGAATGTCTAACCAAATGACCTGTCTGAGGCCATGTCTCTGGGAGGCCGCAAAGCTGAGATGAGCATCCGGGTCTTGGGTTCTTAGGTCGGGGGAACCCTTTAGGTCACATGTGCTGAGACATGAGAAAAGGGTAGAGATGTCCCCTCCTTATTTTGCTTGGGTGAAACTTGCCGGTGTCTGTGTCATGCAGGAGCAGCAAGGGGTAGAGTCTACACCCTCAGGGAGCTTCTTGGAGGGTAGAGGAGAGAGACAGAAGGAGGCACTGTGTCTCAGGGATGGCTGGGCCTGGCCTGGGACTAAGCAAGTGGACAGAAGAAATAGGAGTCTAAAACAGGCCAAATCTACAATATCATAAAAGTGAAAATGGGCTCTGGAGCCAGGCTGCCGGGGTTCAAATCCCAGCTCTGATGCTCACTGGCTGTGTGACCTCCAGCACGTTACTTAACATCTCTGAACCTAAGTTGTCTCATCAGTGAAACGGGATCAGTAGCAGACCGTCCCTCACAGGGCTCTTTTGAGGAGTACATGAGCTTGGCCAAGTGGAAACTTGACCGACAGTGGCATAGCTATCCTTTAATCCTCATAGGAGGAGGGGGAGCCTCAGAAAGGACAGTGTCATCCCCAGGTCACTGAGGAGATTTGTCAAGATCACAAAGCATATACAAAAGTGGAATGCAGGACTCTGGCTCTGAAGATTTTTTACTATCCTGAGGAGAAAAGACATGAAGAAAATCAAGGGCTGCATAGGAGGTGAGTTGGCTTAGACACGGGCAGAAGAGGTGAGAACCAGAAAGCCATCGTTAGGCTAGGGTATGTGGACCAACGACAGCGTTCAGGAAACCTGCCAGCATCTTCCACCCTCCATCGTTCCCCCTCGTCACCCTCTATCGTTTCCCCTCGTCACCCTCTGCATCCAATTCTCCATCTGCTGGGGAAGCATCAGACTCGTTGGGGGCACCCCAAGGAGAAAGCTTGGAGAAATTTAGTGTTGGCGTAATCAGCACTCAGCAAATCTTTCCTGCTTCAACTCCAAAACCAAATGGAGTCTGCTGATCGCAGAGACCATTTCATTAAGCTAAACAAATGCAGTGCCCCAAACAGTCTCCATGGGGCAGATAAAACAAGGCCCCAGCCAGAGACCCCTCTGGAGACCTGGAAGGAGGCACAAGTAGAAGGGGAAATGGGCGGGTGTCCCTCTCATGAAACAGGAAGTGGGCAGGTAGCAGTGACTGCATCTGACAATCACGCTCACTTGCTCCGGCTTGGCTCAGGGCTGCTCCATGGAAGTGGGGTTGTGTTTTGAGGTCAGGTGTGAGCTTGGTCCTCTCCGTTATCTTTAGAGATTTGAAGTATGGAGAGAAACTGGGAGGTGGGGGGAAATTGGGATACAAAATGATTTAGTTAGATGCATAGCTAGAAATCCACTAAGATATACACCACACGCCTGGGGTAATCTAAAACTACAATATAATGGTGTACTCACTGTAGGAGACACACAACATCCATACATCCTGGTGTATATTATATATTCATATACTATTCATTCATACATATGTGCATTTAATAAACACGTGTTGAGCACGTACGGCATGCAGCACTGATCTAGGCACCGGCAATAGAAATAAAGTTCTCACTTCCACGGAGCTTATGTTCTTGGCAGGAACTAATCTCTATCTGTATTGCAGTGTCTGGAACCCAGGAGGCACACATTACATTTGGGGATGAAATGAATGGTGCTAGCATATGACTGTTAATGGCGAACGAGGGAAGGATAAAGGTATTACACATTCTAACTAACACATACATAATATACATGATACATACATAATATACAGAGGATATATATATATATATATATATCATGTACATGGAGACCAGTACGATCATGTGTAGGGTGACGTGTAGTAGTATGCAGATAAAATGCATACTTGCCGACCTCCCCAGCATCACTTGAGAGAACCATGATTTTTTGTTAAACTCCCAGGCTACTCCCTCTGGAGCATATCACAGAGTTACCCATGTGAGGAGCAGTTCATATGATAAT